GAAAGTGTTCATTTTTTAACTGCAACTGGAAAGGTTGAAAAGTCAGGACTCTTGTATTTGTGAACTGTAATTGGAAGCAAAATTTAAAAAAGTGTAGGAAGAAACAGATTGTCCTTTTTTTGTAAAGGTCTGTGATACCATGTTTCAGCTTTGTGTAAGTAATTTGAATATCCAAAGGGTGTGATGATCAGTTCTTTATATGCAACTGTCCACTTAATAAGGACAAGTGTTCCAGTGTCTCTTATGACTCTGGTCATAAGTGATGTCGGAATTTACCATTTTGTGAAATAGTTGGTATCCCTTTACTACTATAATTAATTTTTGTCATTCCAGGAAATCTTTGTGAAGCCAGCCAGTTAATAAAGCACTTTAGTATCTGTTCAGGTAGTTTTGAAAACCAACTTTTCCCCTTCAGGATAAGAACTTCCAGGTTACCTAAAAATGCAATAAAAATCTTTATAGTCTAAGCTTCTTGGCACATAATTTTTCATCAGGGTTTTTTTTTTTTTTTTTTTTTAAATGAGCACAATAATGTTTTGTTTTTTGTTTTTTTTTCCACAACCACCTAGCTCCTTGTTTAGTTTCTAATTGTATAGCTATATGAAAGAGGTGGCTGAGACATTTGCTGCACACACTTGAACTGTTGGGTCAGTAGCTTTGAGTTACTGCCCTGACCCCAGTGTAATTCAGGGGGAAAGGTATTTTTATCTTACAGGGATATGTAGCTATGTATTTTACTAATTGTGAAACACTGGAAATTAATGATACAGACAACTTGGTGTGGTCTTTGAACAGCTCTCTGCAGTATTTTTTTCTGTTACCATAAATTGTATTTAAGTGCTTGCTCCTCTGCTTTTAAGTTGTATCAATAAAATCGGTAACCTCAGCCCTCCCTTCCCATTTGACACTCCCTAGCTCAGATTGATGTAGTTGTTTTAGTTATCCCTGTAATGTGACCTTTATTTTTAAGTCATGGTGTACTGCATTTGTTTGTCACTAGTTGGGCATGTGCCAATAATAATCTGTCCATTCCTTAATTGCCATCTCTATTTTGTCTGATTATTTTCTCTTCAGCTGAATAACGGCTTTTTTGCATGAAAAAAAATAGTTTTTACTATTAGACATGTAAAGGGAAGAGAGAGTGAATGTATTGGACTTTGTAAGCCTAAAAGGAATATTTGGATCCCTCTACTAAATAAGGGCTATGTACGATATAGAGTAATCATGTAGTGGAAGATACTTGCAAGTCATAGATTTGTAGGCAGGAGGATCTGTTACTCCCTGTATCTAGGCTGAATGTAAAATCCTTTATGTTGTATTAATGGGGGTGATAACTATTTTTATTTGCTGATGATATACTTGGTTTCTAATAAAGTGTCCTAGGCTCTAGTGAGAACTGTCTACTTTTAATTGCCAATGACTCCCTTTCCCCTCTTCCTGATATGCTCTTGGCTAGCTTTTTATAGGTTAATGCTTTTTTCTGAAACATCTCACCACTTTAAATGTGTTCATTTGGGTGTGAACGTAAAAAGCCTGGATCAAGAGCACATCTCATATGCAACATGCATCAGCTCCTACTCCGTCTGGATGACTAGAACTGTTGGAAGATTGTGACGTCTTAAACCCTGGGTTTTGCTTTTGAAATAAGGTTTGAAATATTGTTCATTGCATTAAGATTTGTGTGTTTTTGCTTTGTGAGCCCAGCACCAGGTTTTGGAAATGCCTGTATTGTGAAAGCAAATCTGAACTCTTTCTGAGCCTTTTTTGTTGTCAGAAATAGAATTGCTTTCCATCAGCCTCCAGAAAATTGTGTATCTGGAGTCGAAGAGATTTAACAGCACGAATCCAGATTTTTAATTGTAATTGTTTTTTAAATGCTAATGTTTGTAAAGCACCTTCAGTTCCTTGGATGAAAGGTGCTATATTCTCTCAGTGTAAATTAATAAAAAGATTATAGGAAGTTTGTGAGAAAATTTTATCTGATGCATAGTCTGTAGCATGTCCCGACCAAAAGTTAGCATTTTATATAACACAATTTAAACTAAAAAATGCTTATTCCTTCACTTGGTTGCTTGACTAGTAAACAGAAGTGAAACTTTTTCTTGTTTTGCATTTGACTTTGAGCTAAGTGTTCCAGTTCTTTAAAGGAAGTAGTCATTGTTATGTCCTGGACCCCATGCCCAGAACCATGCATCACGAGATGTCACAACTCTTTCGATTGTGTGTTTACAGTGTGTATTCATGCTGATGAAGTATACAGTAGTAAAACACCCAGAAGCATTTGCAAAGTCCCCTAGCATGGTGTCCGACACAGTAGATGCTTGGGGGACTGTTTGTTCCTTATTCCCCTCTTCTTCATTTTCTATTTCCTTACCAATCAGTTGGTGATTGCCTTTTTTACCCTCAGGAGAGTAAGACTATTCTGACTTGGATCACTCAAATATTTTCTTTATTCAAAACTGCATGAAATTTGTGAAGATTTTTTTGTGTGTATCAACAAAAATACTTACGTAAGTATGTTCCACTCAAACCCTGGACATCCACTATTCTCAGCACTCTGCTTTTGGGTATAAATGGGAATGAGATATAAAAGAATACATGGAGGTGTTATGGAATAGCATAAAGAATATAGGCTCTGGGATCAGATCTATGTAAAAACTCAGCTCTGCCAGGCAGTAATAGCTAACTTAGCTAAATGATGTACATGCCCTATTTTGTGTTTACCTTTACTATGGTTCTATGACTATATTACCTCTTTCTGTGCCCTGCCCTCCCTGCCCCTTCAGATGAGGAAACAGATTTAGGATAGGTAACTTGTCCAAGGTTGCATAGGAGAGCTGGAACTTCAACTCCTTTAGGATATGCAAGAGTACATCTTAAACCCTCTTAAGCCATCTTAAGCATTATTTGTTTTTGTAGCTGTATGACCCTGAGTGAGTTGGGTTCTCTAGATCCTAAAATTCTGTGTCTAAAATAAGAATACCATACAGGGTTAACCTCCAGATTAAAAACAGCACACATAAAGCACCTGGTCCCTGGCCCAAAGCTGCTATTTATTGAGGGCTCACTCTAATACAGTATTTGCCCAAATTAAATGTAGTTGGGAAGTAAGAGTAATCTAAGGCAATAGATAGTTGCTAATATAGTGAGGCTTCTGGAAGTACAACAAATTTGGAGAAGGAAGTGTTTGACATAGGATAGAGTAATTGGGGAAGGCTTAAAAGAGGAAGTGTGAATTAAATGTGAACTGGAATGACGGGATATACATTTCTTATATAGTAAAAACACAGAAGCGGAGATTACTAGAACTTAACATGTGACGTGAAGATGGGACTTGAGGGTACCTCTTGGGAAGGCATAAGAAATGAAAAGCTGCAGCTCTATTGGCAGAACCATGTATCAGAGAGGAGTTGGCCAACTATGAAAGATCTTGAAAACCACATGGGATTTTAATCCCTATTTTTAAGAAATGTAATGCATGATATTTCAAAATTAGTCTTCTAGTGAGTTGGTGATCCTACCTGGAATCAGACCCCACCTGCCACAGTCTTATCTGAAAAATATCTCTGGTTTTTCCCCCTTCCCTTTCTGGTTTGGTTGACGCTGAGACTGTAGTTTGTTGATTTGGGGATTACATAAAATATTAATTTGGGGAAACCAACAGATGTTCGACATGTTTTTCTTGTCAAAGCCATTTTAACCGACCCCCCTACGATTTACCATCATTGTTTTGTAGAAGGAATATTATTTTTAACATGAAATGTTTAAAAAAAAAGGCCATCTCAGAATATAAATGCCCTTTATGCCAAATAAATTTGGTTTTGTGAAAAACCTGTATCCTAATTTTTGCCATTTGTGAGGGTCTGTGAGAGATTTGTCCCCAAACTGGTGGTGTGATCTACTCTAGGCTGTCATATTATTGATGCATAAAACATGTTCTAATAAATAGGAAAAAACAAAAGAGAAAGTTTTATGCCTCCTCCCAGCTCCAAATAGATGCCAGGGATCTATCAACAACAACAACAAAAACCTGTTCACATGGAACGTAGAGAGGCTGTAGAATACATTTAATTAAAGGGAACAATTTTATAAAATGTTAACGAGTTATGTCTTATTTTCAAGGATGATCTTATTAATGTAGAAGATGAACAGTAACATACTGTGCTTATGTGCTGGTAGTCTTGCATGCTTAGGTCTGTCAACAAATGCAGTGAAATTTATTTTTAAATTGATTAGCTGGCATTGAATTTACAATCATCTGCAGTATCACACGACGGTTAGCACACACTCAAGGATCAATTCTATTTAGCCCTTCCAAAATGGAACATACTGCTTTTAGTTATGGCATCAATTCTGTTTGCAGTGATGATTTTTCTTTCATGGTAATTTTTAAAATCTCTTGCTTTCTTGGAAGCCAGCACCCAAGCTTGTGATCTTTTCTGCAGAGGACTGAGCATCTGAAACATGCTTTATTTTGGTAGACTCTTACAGTTTTCTTGCTGGATCCTCAATGAAGGGTATCTGTGAGCTGTGAGACCATTTCAGCATGATGTAGAGTCAGGGACCGCATTGAGGTGGTTCAAAATGAAGCTCGTTTTGGAGTTACCTCACCGTCGCACCTGCCAGAGGAGTTTGGGAAATTGCAGTGCTTGGCTGTTGGTCCTGGCGTGGTGCAGTGTTGGGGGGCGCCAGCAGGTGTGTGGAATGCAGGACGCAGAGCCAGGAGAACCTGCCGGCAGGTGTCTGGCGCCGGAGATGCAGTTTCTACTTTCCAGCGCACGGTGGCGCTTAGGTCTCCCCCGCGCTGCTAGCAGTCTCTAAGGCACCTCCGCCGCCACCTGCAGTCTCAACCAAACTCTAGGTGGCGGAACGTGACGGCCCGAGCGTCCAATCGACCGCCAGGCTTTCGGCTACACTACAGTTCTAGCCAATGGGAGCCGAGGAGAGGCGCGGAGGAGGCGGGCCCCGCGGCATGCCAGGCAGAGGCGCGAGGCCCTCCTCCCGCCTCTCCGCCTACTCCAGCCTCCGCCGCCTCAGCTTCCCGAGCGAGCCCTGCGGCCGCCGGAGCAGCTCCCGCGGCGGAGCAGGAGCCGGATGGTCAGAGGAGCCCGGCAGCCCCAGCAGCCGAGGAGTCGCCTGGCCCCCAGGTGGGGCGGGGGCTGAGTCGAGGTCGGGGTTAGGGATGGGGTCGGGGCGCGGGAGCGGGCCCACGGGCAGCGGCTTGGGGCCGTGAAGCATTCGGGGCTCCGGGAGGGGAGGGGGGTTCAGGCTGAAGGGGGAGTCCGGGGGGCGCCCAGGAGCGGGGGAGCGGGCTGGGCGGCGATCGCATCCTCGAGGCCGGACGAGAGGGGCGTGTGAGGGAAGGGTCGCCGAGGGGTGAGGCTGGGGGCGCCGGGCAGGGAGGGGCAGGGCGTACGCGCCCCGTGGAAGGGCCGTGGAATGCGGGGGGCGCTGGGCCTGGAGGGGCGGGGCTCAGGGGGGCAGTGCACGCTCGGGAGGGGGTGGGCACGGGAGAGGGGAGGCCGGAGGGGCTTGCGGGGGTGACGAGGCAGACAATGAGTAGGTGGAGGTGGGTGGTTTTGGGGAGCGGGGCTGTGACGAATAGGAGCTGAGAATGGAGTGAGGGACTAGAAGGGAGAGCAGGGTTTGGGCAGAGCAGACATTATTAGGGGAACTGTGAGTCCCAGGATTGCTCGGTCTTGGTAAATAGGGGAAACAGAGCATAAGGCATTTGTAAGGTCAGGTATGAGCCTAGCGAGCCTATGGTCCTAGAGGGTGGTGGTACGTTCAGTTCTTGACTGGCACAGTAGGGCCAGGAGATGTGTTCTTGTATATTACTTTTAGTTACCATCTTATTTGTTTGGTCTGTAGACTGACTGGCACGGTGGAGAAACCACCTCGAAAACGGAAAAGCAGGTAAGCAAAATGCCTTCCTATTTTGCTTCGTGTTTTTCCATTTGCTTGGCTTCACCTATGCCATACTGCATAGTTACGGTCGGTAGATGAAGTTTTTTATTTAGCTCCTTTCCTTAACGAATATAAAACTGCATTCAAGGTCTTTTTGAGGAGTTCAAAGTACTACCCTGTACCATTTGTGTGTATGTATGTAAGATTATATGGGAAAGAGACATGGGTAATTGAGAAATCTTAGTTTTTACTTTATTTTTTTAAGTTTATTTATTTTGAGAGAGAGAGAGAGAGAGAAGAGAGCACACACGTGAACAGGTGAGGGGCAGAGAGAGAAGGAGAGAGAGGATCCCAAGCAGGCTCTGCACTGTCAGCACAGAGCCCCATATGGGGCTCAATCTCACAAACCCATGAGCTGAGCTGAAATCAGGAGTCCCTTGCTTAACTGACTGAGCCCCCCAGGCACTCCCTTAGTTTTTTTCTTTAGCTGTAATTTCACCCTCTCCACCAGCTCTGTTTAAAGTGCTAATGTTTGGGGCGCCTGGCTGACTCAGTCTGTAGAGTGTGCTACTCTTGATCTTGGAGTCCTGAGTTCGGGCCCCACCTTAAGCATGGAGCTTACTTATAAAAAATAAATAAAATATATTTAAAAAGTTATTGAGCATCTACTGTGTGCTGAGTATTATGTGCAAGTGCTTTATATGTATTATCTTCTGTAATCTTTTTTTTTTAATGTTTATTTTTGAGAGAAAGGAAGAGCATGAGTGGGGGAGGGGCAGAAAGAGAGGGAGACAGAGACAGAGGATCTGAAGCAGGTTCTGCGCTGACAGCAGAGATCTCGATGTGGGACCCAAACTCATGAACTGCAAGATCATGACCTGAGCCGAAGTCAGATGCTTAACCAACTGAGCCACCCAGGAGCCCCATATCTTCTGTAATCTTGAAACACCCCAAGGAAGTATGTATCATAAGTTATCACTGTTTTGCACAAGAGGGAACTGAGGCACAGAGAGGCCAAGATCACTCACTCATCTAATAAATGATAGAAACCAGATCTGAATCCAGGCGATCTGGCTCCAGAGCTTAAGCTCTTACCCATTATACTTTACTGCCTCTAATAAACATATAATCGAAAATAGATTTTCTTACTGCTTCTTTCTTTTATCATTGCACGTAGTATGTAGAGTCTAATAAACAATCAAACCATAGGGAAATAGAAACAGGGGGCTTAAGGAGTCCACAAACAACTGAATTATTCCTTGACTAATGAAGAAGAGCATGCATCCATCCCACAAACTTTTTTGTGTGCATTCCACATGTCAGATACTATGTAGCAGTTCTGTGTGGTCATTAGAAGGGTTCTTTTTCACAGATACAGGCCTAGAGAGAAAATAAGCTACAGTAGTGAGGATGGGACCAGTAGGTCGCCTGTCATAGTTAATACTTGGTAAGTTACTGATGTTAGTACACAGAAAACCTCAACAGTAAGTAGATCATGAAGTAACGGGGGAAATGCTGTCAATTAAAGTTCCTTTATCACTCTAGGCCTGTGCTGTTCAATATGGTAGCTATGTGCGGCCATAAAACACTTGAAATGTGGCTCACATTACTGAGGAACTGAATTTTAAATTTTATTATTATCATTTTTAGTGTTTATTTATTTTTGACAGAGAGAGAAAGATTGGGGGAGGGGCAGAGAGAGAGGGAGACAGAATCCAAAGCAGACTCCAGGCTCCAAGCTGTCAGCACAGAGTCTGATGCAGGGCTCAAACTCACAGACTTTGAGATCATAAGCCTTGAGATCAAGTCAGATGCTTAACTGATTGAGCCACTCAGGTGCCCCTGCATTTTAAATTTTATTAATTATAATTAATTTAAATTCAGAAAGTGGTACTTGACTCACTGGAAGGTATGTTTGGAACAATTTGGGTATGGGAATCTACTTTTTCATCTGGAAGTTTTATGAAATCTGTATACAAGTCCCGTATTTCCAGTGAAAATTTAATGTCCGAAACAAGATGTGCTTGAAGTAAAAATGCACATCAGATTTCAGGTGAATATGAAAAAATGAATGTGAAATTTCTTATTTACTAATTTTTGTAGTGATTAGATGATGAAATCATTTTAGGTCTAGTGGGTAAATAAAAGTACTACTAAAATTATTTTCACTTTTTTCTTTAACTTTTTCTAACATGGCCATTCAAAACTTAAAAGCTATATATACGGCTTACATTAAATTTCTTTCGGACAGACTTTAGCTCTCATTATCCCACTTCCAGTCTCTTGCAGTGGCCTCCTGACTGCGTTCTCTACCTTAAATCTGTAATTCATTCGTTACAAGTTGATCTTGTAATTCCCTGTTTAAATCCTTCTGTGGTTCCCCATTGCTTATTGAACATAATTCAGACTTTTGAGCCTGCTCATAAAAAGAGACTGCCTTTCTCTTCTCCCTGTCTTCCCAGCCACAGTTGAATACTGTGGCCATGGAAATTCTCAATAATGGATCTATTAAATATCTACTATTAAGTGACTTAACTTTCTGCTGAATCCTGTACTATGAATTAATTGCTGAATGTAACTCTGTGTTCTGTTTGCCATTCCCAGAACTTATATACTCTCTTTGCTTTGGGTTTTTGCACATGGTTTCTCTTTCTCTCTGGATTACTTTCTCCTTGCTCCTTGGCAGGCTCCCTCTAAGACTTAGCTCATATGTCACATCCTGTGTGCAGACTTTCCCAACCTCTCCTTCACCTTATTTGCTCCCATAATAGCTTGTACATACACCTAAGGGTAATGGTTTGGGCTGCATTTGAATCCTAGCTCTGTCAAGTACAAGTTATGAGATCATATATAAGTTAATAAACCTCCTTGAGCCCCAGTTTCCTCATCTGTATGTGGAAATAATAAAAGTTCAAACCAGGGGCTCCTGGCTGGCTCAGCCGGTAGAGCATGCAACTCTTGATCTCTTGATCTCAGGGCTGTGAGTTCAAGTCCCACGTTGGGCATAGAAAAAAAAATAAAATTTTTAGGGGCGCCTGAGTGGCTCACTTGGTTAAATGTCTGACTTTGGCTCAGGTCATGATCTCATGGTTCGTGGGTTCAGGCCCGTGTTGGGCTCTATGCTGACAGCTCAGAGCCTGGAGCCTGCTTCAGATCCTGTGTCTCCCTCTCTCTCTGTCTCTCCCCTGCTTGTACTCTTTCTGTGTCTCTCAAACATGAATAGACATTAAAAAAATAAATAAAATATTTAAAGAATAATTAAGAAAGAAATAGTCCAACCTTCAAGGGGTTGTAAAGTGCTTAGTACAGCGCCTGGCACATAGAAAATACACAGTAAATTTTATATGAAAAAGGAGCCATCGAATACCTTTATTTCCCACCCCTTTTCTAAATATATACAGGCTAAAGGATTAAAAATAAGGTATTAGGGTAAAGAAGAAATGAGAAAAGAATAATACAATTAAACCAGTGGCAAAAAACTGTTTTAAACCAGTGGAAAAGTTGGTAAATAGACTAGAAAATACTGCACAGTCACTAAAGGTGGGTTCCATATTTGGCTCTGAGTTTCCTCAAGCAAAGCAAAGAAGAAAATAAAGCTCAACTTCCAGATCCATGGTGTTTATAAAACCAAACACATGTTGTTTAAGAGAAACACAACTTTTTTTGAGTGTTAGTTTGAGAGAAATTTTTCTCAGGGGTCTTCATAGTGGGGACACTGGTTTTGTAAGGGGCAGAATCCCTGTGATAAACATAGTAGTGAGTTTTTAAAGATTGCTTCTTATAATGCTTTTTTTTTTTTTTTAATTTTTTTTTTCAACGTTTATTTATTTTTGGGACAGAGAGAGACAGAGCATGAACGGGGAAGGGGCAGAGAGAGAGGGAGACACAGAATCGGAAACAGGCTCCAGGCTCTGAGCCATCAGCCCAGAGCCTGACGCGGGGCTCGAACTCACGGACCGCAAGATCGTGATCTGGCTGAAGTCGGAGGCTCAACTGACTGCGCCACCCAGGCGCCCCTTATAATGCTTTAAAAAAATTTTTTTTTAATGTTTTATTTATTTTTGAGACAGAGGGAGACAGAGCATGAGTGGGGGAGGGGCAGAAAGAGAGGGAGACACAGAATCTGAAGCAGGCTCGAGGCTCTGAGCTCTCAGCACAGAGCCCGACGCAGGGCTCGAGCCCATGAACCGTGAGATCATGACCTGAGCCGAAGTCGGACGCTTAACCAACTGAGCCACCCAGGCGGCCCAACTTCTTGTAATGCTTCTTAATCCAGGTTCATATGATGCCAGTGAACATTCTCCAAAGAGCCAAAGCAGTGTTTAAGTATACAGCTCACTGGTGGCTTGCTTGGCTTGGTTTAGAGATAAACAGGGATGAATAAGCTCCAGTGATTCTGTTTATTCCCAGCATCTGGACTTGTGTCTGGCACTTAGAAAACAGTTGGTTAAATTATTGAATGAATGTGTCCTTAAATACTTCTCTATGAATATTATTTTTTTAATTAAAAATTTTTTTTACTTTTATTTTTTTAGTAATCCCTACACCCAACGTGGGGCTCGTACTCATGATCCTGAGATCAAGAATCATGTGCTCTTCTGAGTCAGGCACCCCAAATCTATTTTCTTAATAATACTGAGACATTACTTGCCTTTATCATGATTCTCTCTCATTCATGGTGTAATTTCCTGAGGCTACAATTAGGAGTGATTTCATTTTTGCTCTGAAGGCTCATGGAATGTGTGCTTCTGTATTATTATATATAAAATTTTCATTTTGAAATATAAATATCGATAGATATACCCACAGAGTTTTCAAGAGTGTTAAGGGGCTCTGCGACCAAAAAGCTTGAGAGCTGTATAAGAGAACGTATCATACATAAGAAAGACTAAATTTTCCTTAACTCTTAATTCTTGGGATGCTCTTTTAACACTACGTCCCTCCTAGAGGCACCTTTCCTTCCTTTGGGTGTTTGACATTTAAGGGTCCAGAATTGTTACCACCAGGAG